CACAGAGCAATAACAGCTGAAGAAGAAAAAAAAAACAGAAAAGGGACAGAATTGTGTAGCCTTTTTTTTTTTTTTTTTTTTTTTTTTTAAGCAGTATTAGCATTACATATTTATCTAAGTGAAGATGTGTCCTTAGATCTGTGATGAATAACTTTTTGGTAACCTATTTGGATCACATTTGTTTTTCAATTTTTCATTACAGCTCATTTAGGGATCACTTTGGGTTTTTATAGTATATATTTCATACTTTATAATGGTTCATCTGAACATCAAATTTCATTTTATCTGTTAATTATAGTAAGTTATAGTAGGGTTTTTGAAATTGTTCATGACAAGTGAAATATTGAAGGAAAATCCTAAATATTTATTATATGGAGTTTTATTAAGGCATTTAGGACTGAAACATATTATCAATATAAAGTTTAGATGGTATTTTTTTTTCTTAATGCCAATCAACTAGCCAAGATGACAACAAACTGTGCTGCCGCCTCCCATTGGCTCATGTCCAGTCTCATCTGGACCAAAAAGCTGCACTTGAACACACCAGATGGATGGCAGCTGACTGATTCCAGAATATGTTTTGTGTCTGCGTGAGAGGATTTGTCTTTCTGAACCATTTTTATTGTTTTCAGTCACCACAGACTGGTTCGCCTGTGAAAATGTCTAAAAATAAAAAAAAACACATTTTTTGAAAATGTTTAAGAAATGTGGCAAACTTGCGATCAGCTTCTGTGTGCTCCTTCTTGACTTCTTGACTTGAATTGCTTAGTTTCTATATCACTTCACTTTTTTTTTCTCACGCTCTGATCAGAGCCGATTGATACTGATTCTACATGATGAATTTGGCCAACAAGCTCAGATGTAAATTTGATGGGAGGCAATATGTGCAACACAACAAACCAAGTAGCCGGAAAGATGCTGACCAACGAACCAAAGAAGGCCAATGGCTGAGCGTCAATATCTAGCTGATGTCAAACAACTAGCACTGACAAAAACCAACGTCTCCTGGTTACAGCTGTAAGAAAACCTTATCATTGATAATATGATGGGTCACACAAGACTTCACATTTTGTAAACATTGCTCAGCAACATGGACATCTTCAAATGGTGTTAAAAGTGTCACATACTGTATTTATAAGGTATAATTCACCCAAAAATTTTTATTCTGTCTTGAGGTAATGGTGTATTCATGGCAACAGATTCAATTAATATGTATTAATTTATTAATTTTAATTAATACAATGCAGGAAGGAATCTAATAAGGACAAATGTCTCATTTTATCAGTGAAAACATAGACAATAATGTTCTCAATGACAAATGACAAGCATATGTCTCAAACATAATAATTAAACTTAATAATTATGAATAATTTGTATTCTTATGTCATTACATTACTGAAAATTAACAACCAGGACGCATGTAAAGTCTGTTCAAGTCCACTATTACAAGTCTATACAACATTTGGCATTTTAACCAACAGTAGACCTACACATGATAGGCCTAATAATTTTATTGTTGTTTTACCAATTGTTTGAGTAATAAGCAGGAATAACAGCCTACTCATATTAACCTTTACTTCTACAGAATTGTGAAAAAACTGGGATCTTGATTTTTAAGCAAAAAAAAAAAAAATGTTAGTCTCATTTACTTATCGTAGAACTGCAAGAGTAACATCATTTCTTTGGTTACAGCTGTAATAAAACCTTGTCATAGAACTGCAGAAGCAACGACATTTCCTTCGTTCCAGCTGTAAGCAAAGCTCATTGTATTGTATAGATTAGGCAGAAATAATCTAAAGGACATACAAAGCTGACGGTCGGCCATTGGGCTTTGTTGGTCTGTTGTTCAGTGTCAGTCCAGTTGGTTGGTTTGGTGTGTTCTACACATTGACCATGGAAAAACTGTGATCTGGGATCATCAGTGATTACAAGATCAGTGGATAATTACATCAGCCCCCCCACACTTTACATTCACTTAAGACATACAACTTTATATGTTTATGTGAAAACAAATATTATTAATTAATTATGTCTGGCCATATGTCTGCTTGATAACATATTTTAACATCAAGCAACGGCTGAATAATATGTCATTAATATTATTTTCATAAAAACTGAACACCTGTCTAATAGGCTTTCCAAAAACACACACGACCTTTGTAAATTAATATTTAATTATGGTACTTTTACATTAAAAGTAAGTAGAGTAATATGTGCTGTCCGCCTGTTTAGTTGCATTTTAAAATACTTAGTTTTCTTTTATTTTTATTGATATCAGCGTCCTGAAATTCAACAAAATATTTCGTTTGTTTGAACAACATGACATGATTCTAAGCGTCTGACACATTTTGACCTTGTTACTGATGCCTGTTGATGTATTTTGAATTCCCCAAATGCTGATAAGAGCTAAAAGCGTGAGAGCGTGATGATTTTGGAAAGCAGCAGCTACTTTTTAGCACAGTTTGGTCCCCAGACGCCGCAGAGGAGTGTGAATGGGTTCTCTCGGCGCTGGGTCAGTCGGTACCGTTCCTCATAAAGGCCTTAAAGTGCAAACAGACCCTTAAATCTGCCCACTGAACAGCGGCCTGACAGCCCTGCATGGGTGAGCCAAAGTTAAGATAAAGAAAGCTGGATATATGTGAAGCCGCTTTTGTTCCGAGCTCCTTCGCTTGGAGCCAATGGGAGTCATTATTTCACCAACTCATTGTTATGTCATTGACCCCATGGAAGAAGGGCCCTTTAATTTCACCATTTATTACTCCACCAATATTGTTCGGGTTCCGCCTCAGAAATAAATCTGTCTTTTCTCGAGTTGTTTTAAAGCTTTGTACGCCACTCCCATCAGCCTTTGTGTTTTTGGACACTTCATTGGAGCTGTGTGACAGCGGAGTGAAGGGCCTACATAATGATGTGACATATGGTTTCATTTGGCAAGAGTGGGTCCCTGTGCTCTACTAGTCGTCTAACTAGTTCTACTAGCCATAGAGATGAGTTTTTTATTTTTATTTTTGAATTGTTCGTAGAAGTGCTTTAATTGGCAATAAAATTTGTAAAATTTACACCATTAAAGCGCCATCAGTACAGTCATAGACATCCAGATCGGTCGTGTAGTGTGTGTGCGTGCATGCATTGAGTATTTTTTGTGTGATATTTAATTTTTTAATTGGGAATTATTTTGTCCACTGGTTTTACATGTCATTTGTTATAATCTTTTGGTAAATCAAATCTCAAAATATATGTATATTTTGTCATGTCGATGCAATAATATTAATAATAATCATCATTAATTATTGTTGTTACAGTGCTCAGCATAATTCCCATTTTGAAAATTCTTGTCCATTTCTCAGTGATTATAGGCAATGTATTTTGGTGAATTTTTAAACAAAAAAAATTACATTTAAAAAATATATTAAAATATATTATAATAATATTTAGTCACCAAATGTATTTAGAAATTGAAAGATAATACAAAAATTTTTTACAAATTATTTTTTTTGCTTCTCTTTTTCTTTGAACTGTTATCATAAGTAATTTTGTTAGATAAGCTCCAAATTTGGCTTCAGTTCTGACTAATCTAATGTATATGCACAAATATAATATTGCTTAGCTTCTTATTAAAAATATGAATTTTTCCGAGAGATTTATGTGAGGTGTTCATGTATATGCTGAGCAATTTTCATTCTTGTACGGACTTTCGTTGGAAGTCTTTTATGATTTTAGAGTTTTTAATTGTTTTAAAAATGAAAAGTGGTTAAATGAATATAATGCATACAGTAATAAACATTGTATTCAGATTCAAAAAAGAAATTCTATATGAGTTTTCAGTGATTTAAAAAAAAATCTAATGTGGAGTTTATTCAATTTATTATGTTATTTGATGACAATAGTCAAATTGGTTATGATTGTTTTATTTTGTGGGCTGTTAAGTAATTTATTAGATTTTAGCAATGCATAGTAATGATTTTAGTAAATGCAGACACGAATGTTAATAATTGAAGTTAAATAATGTCATATGTTTATACTGTTCAGAACTGTGTAGCGGTATTTGGCTAATAAAATGGGTTTGGGTGCCAGGGATGGAAAACCCCACAAGAGTTACTCAAATTATTTCTTTAATGAAAAAATAAAGTTTCGACAAACGTATTATTTAATTAAGGAAACCAAAACCAAATGGTCTATCAACCATATCAATATATTAATAAAGGGAAAAAACAACAACATAAAACAATCAAACAAAAAAAAAAAAAAAAAAAAAAACAAGCTTTAAATTTAACCTATTTTAGGTCAAGTCATCATAAACCAAACAAACTTTAGTTTACCTGCCCAGGCACATTACCTAATAATACCCTTTAAATCCAATCAAGGGTGATAAAATATAAAATAATTTCCATAAAGATGTAAATCACTTTAAAACATGCAAAACCAATGTTATTTAAATTTACTCACTAATACTAATACTAATAATAAAAATGTCAAATACAAGGTAATGAAAAATTAGAAGATAAATATTTGTATTTCTGAATTTAAAGGCAAATTAAAAAAAAAAATAATAATATAAGTATAAATTTAAAGGGTGAAAAATTTATATAAATAATATAAATATATCAAGTTTATACAGGGACTAATTGTTGTTATAATAACTGAAACTCCTTTTTTTTTTTTACAGTGCTAATATTTTACATTCCCTTTATTTATCTTGATAGCATAGAATGGGCAGGAAAATCTACTTGGATTTTTGCATTGCTTCTTCCTTTAATCAAAGATTGTGCTTTTACACCTGTTATTCTTCCAAAAGAGTTAGCAGCATGTTCAGTTTAGCTCTTTATAATTCCCGGTTGTGTTTATTGTGTCCATTCTAGAGCTCGCTTGGTAATAAAACTGCCAAGTTTCGATAAGATAATCCTCTTATAAATCAAAGGGCTTTTTCCCCCCTTTTACCTGCCTTTTTCTGTTTCACTCAGCCTTTCGTTCTCTGTGTTTTGGCTCTTTCCCAAACGTAGGTACCATTACCCAGTGCCTAAGGTATTTTACGTGCAGCTGACAGTGGGGAACAACGAGTTTATCGGAGAGGGACGAACTCGCCAAGCTGCCCGACACAATGCAGCCATGAAAGCCCTCCAGGCCCTGAAGAACGAACCCATTCCAGAGAGACCACCTCAGGTAACCTTCACTACTGGCCTGCTAACAGAACACACACCACCAACAACAAAAACACAGCCATGCACTCAGATAACTTGATTTCACATTATATCTTACATTCACTACTTGGCAGATGCTTGAGGACTGCAGGATTGCTATTTTTGTTATTAATGATGAACGTTTAGTGAAAAATAACGTGTATATAAAAAAGTGAGCTTGGTTTATTTCTGATAGATGCCAAGGAGTTTGGTTATTATTTTTATTTAGTTTGAATTAAAACTAAAATAACTGAAACAAGTATAAACATTAAAACTATATAGCCATGTTAATAAAATTACTGACATTTTTACAAATTACAATGAAAACAAAATACTTGTATCGGAAATTAAAGGCCGATACCACGTACAGATACCACTCAAACAGTACTTCACTACATGGATGTGATGTGTTGTCCTACCTGACTTCAATGTCTTAAAGTATTAATTAGCCTGATGTATTATATATTAATAGCTTGGTCCTTATAAACAATCCGTTTATAAAATACATTATTAACGAATCTATAGGCTACTGAAGAATGAGCTAAACCGAATATGAAATATGATCCTTGTGATAATGATCACAGCTAAACAAGCTAGCACTCATTTTATACACAAACTATCAATAAAAAAATGAAAGAAATTTTAAGTAATGAAACATTATGACTACAGGCTAAATAAAAGCACCTTGTCAGAGCTGAACATCACTGCCCTGCACCACGCGCGTGTCAGTTTACAGCTTTTGTAAAGATCAGACAGCCTTTACAGATCACACAATCTCTATAAACACATTTAAATGTATAAATATTTTGATAAGTATCGTTAATGGAATATTTTTAATGATATGATCTTGCTTTTGTTGCGCACGCTTTCTCTCTCTCTCTCATCAGCGGCAGTAGACACGCGCTGATACACAATACGCATCAAGATGAAGTGCTGAATTCAACGGGATCAGTTTTGCTACTTGTTGCCTATTTGCGTGTTGTTTCTTTTTTAAAATGCCTTTTAATTTTAAAATGTCTCAAGTTAATATTGGCTATCGGGTAACATAGTCTCCCTCAGAGATATTGGAGTTCAATAATGTGTTGCACAGTATTGACCCGTACCTCCCTGTAAGTTTACACACTGCATGGACTGTAGGCCTACAGCTCTGGAGTGTTATGAATTGCATGTTTTAAATGATTGCGAGGCATGCTACATTTATTTTTTGTTTTTTGTAAAATATACATTATAACCCAGTATACAGTAAATTAAAATTTTTGGCGCCGTATATAACCGTTAAGCTTTAATAGGCATATAAAATTTTTATTAATATTAAAACACATTAATACAAACTAGCCACCCTTTGATTTCTTTTTTTTCCATATATTTTTATCAAACAAAAAATGTAATGAATTGTTTATTTTGGTTTTCATTTTTATTAGAAATAATATAATTATTAGGCGACACAACAGCTATTCTTCCTGTCAGCTGGTACCAGCCTCAGTTTTGCGACTTGGCGTCTGTATCGATGCCTGGATGACAGCGAGAGAGAGAGATGAGATCAGACCTCAGATTCATTGTGTGTCCGCACTTCGCAGTTTAGATGAGCCAATATTAAAAAATTGCAGTAAAGTAACTAACTTTTAATTCGATTAAAAGCCGAAATATTGCTAGACAGAGGAAGCAACTTTCGGTTTTGAAAGAGTGGCCTCAGTGATAAAAGGCGGGCACACACAGGATACACTCTTGTAGGGCTATTCATTATTGATTTTTTTTTAACATTAAGCTCATAATAATCAAGTCAAAAAAGATCAGCTGAACTTCGGAAACGTTATTCTTGCGGTTGCCTCAATGTTTGCTTTGTTTTTCTGCAGTTGGCTTGTCAATGTCGCTGCATTATCACTTCTGTTTTAATAAAAATAAGCCCACCTATAGTTAAACATCAAGTAGTTGACATTTTGATAATAAACTTAATTGTAACCAAATCTATGAAGTATCGGTAATCTGTATCAGCAGGTACTAAAATTTAAATACTCGTACTCGTATCAGTTTGTAAAAAAGTGTTATTGGTGCATCCCTAGAAAATACAATAGTAACTTTACAGTATTGAAAATCCTTTCTTGAGATTTGTCTATTTTAATTAATAATAAGTTTGTCTATTTTAATTAATAATAATATTTAATAATAAAAACATATGTAATAATTTATGTTGTTATGATATTATTTGCAGCAGATTTATTTTTATTAAATACTTTTTTCAAATATTTTTTTAAACTTTCCCCCCCCCCCAAAACATTATTTAGATAAAATAAAAAATATGAATGCTTCAGCTGCCAAAATAAATGGATACCAATAAAGAAATTCATGCTACAGTTCTAGCAAAAAGTGAATTAAAAACAAAGCAAAATTACTGATTTTATATTAATTCGCTATAAAGTTTTTGACTCTTCTAAAGCATAAAAATACCATAATATGTTTGCAGATATTTAAGAAACATGCTAAGTGAACACATTTGTTTATCTGAAAAACAATACTAGAATCAGATATTCTGCTTTGAAAATGTTTGTTACGTGCTGGATTGCCTGTCTTTTGTTTTGGTCATTTTACTCACCCAACGCCAGTTCACCCAAATTATATTTCAGCACCCCTGAGAGCATTGGTGGAAAACAGCGTATTTCATTCAATTAGTCAGGAAGGCTGTCTAAGTGTGTGTCCGCGACCAAAATGCGACCTTCAGTCACTGTGGACAGTAGCAGAATCCGAAATGAGACACAGCTTCAGTTCCACATGAGGTGGTTATTAATTAGCAAAAAATATAAATATTTTCAGCGTAAAGATTAGGTGAGCAGGTTACATTGTAAGTCCATGTCCTAACAACACGCTACGTGATGAGATTTGCAGCAGTAAGCAATTTGACTGTTTGCACCAGACGAAACATGACAGAAAACTAAATACAGTCATCCAGAAGAACAGAATAGTGCACTTACTGCACTCCAACAAAATGATAAGGTTTATAATCTAATTAATACATATTAAACCTCTTTAATGTGCTTGCTGAATTCAATTTCAAACTGTTTATTTGATTTTCAACTCTTGAGGTGAACTAACTGCTGCTGCTTTCAGTAGTATGGTAATAAATGTATTGTAAAATGGCATTCAAACTCACATTGTTAGCATTGAAGACTGAATAAAGCACATTGGGTGTACCTGAGGTGATCAGTGTCAGTTTTCTACTTTTCAGATGTGAGAAATAGAAGACGTTTCATATATATCAATTCGAGGTGTTGGTTAGAATAAAAACTCCTTTTAATATGGAAAATATTTTTTTTATCACAGGCTGTTACTTTTAATAAAAACACGATTTAAATCAGCCTTTAGGCTCGATCGCCAGTCAATCAGTGCTGTTGGTTTCGTCAATCTGGCAACCTGCGATTGCGTGTGTTTTGAACCAGGTGTCCAATATCTAGTTCAATCACTTGGTGTCAAACTTATACACTGCACCTTTAATGCACCTTACATTTAGTTGTACTTTATGATAAAGTATTTCTGTTGTACCTGTTTCAGTCATGATTTTATTCCATTTGCCATCATTCATTTCTTTGAGAACATTAAACATGCAAATCTGTTTCATAAACTGCTTCACACATTTAGCACGGTTTATCAAGTTTCCTGTTGTTCAGTTTGTGTACTTGAAAACCCATCATGCTTTTCATATTCATAACCTGTTGTGAAGCAAAAGTGATATTCAGCCCGATGATCTAAGTACCGATATTTAAGACACGACTGTCCCATTTCCTCATCATCTGTCAACGTTCACAACATCTCCTCTGAGTTTTACTCTGTGTTTGCACGTTGCTTCAGGCCATTCTTCAAAATACTAATTTCTCCCACCGGAAATCATATTACATCGTGCCCCAAATGCCTGGCATCCAGCAAGGTTATTTAAACCGCAGTGGCGCCTCTGTTGTTTGGTCTTGTCCCCTTTCTGTCTCCATAATGAGGGCTTTGTCAGACGCCTCTTCCGTGTATTGCTTTACAAATTGATACACACAATAGTTGTGCACACCTCAGGGCAAAACTGTGTTTGTCTGCATGTCTCCTTGCTCATGTACCAGATCTGAAAGCTCCAGCACGAGGATCAGGCTCCAATAAACACACACACACACACACACACACACACACACACACACACACACACACACACACACACAATAGGGCTCTTTCACATGCGTTTTAGACTTTTGTCTTTTCAAACACTGATGCATGCTCCCTCGTTTAGAATACTTCAAATGCTCCACCATTTTATTGAACGAGAGTTTAGTATACAGTAGTCAACATTAGAAAATGTTGAACATTTCAAAATTGTTTTAAGACAAGTTGTTTAAAAGTTTTAGGACAACTTTGAAGAAAGGTTTTGATCTACTTTAAATTTAGTTGATTCCAATTAATTACATGTGTTTGTGGATCTAATTATTCAATTCAGTTAAATATATGTTATTACTTTACAATCGAAAGCAGAAAGAGTTAAACGAACACTCCACTTTATTGAAAACAGGCTCATTTTACAATGCTCAGAGATAAATTGGAATTATTTCAGGTGATTCCAGGTCTGACGGGAGCAGTTTTAGCTTGGCTTGGCATAAATTATTGAATCAAATTAGACCATTAACATCCTGCTAAAAAAAAAAAACAAAAAAAAAAACAGAAGTTTTGACGATATTCATATTTAAAGCTTGACACTCATTACATTGTGTACTGAGACCAACTTAAAGTGCTATTTTCTAGGTTGATATTGTAAGCTGACAAAATATTATATGCTATTCCTTCTACACTAATAAAGGACTACTAAGACATTCAAAGCATGGGATGGGTCCTCCTGGCGTGGCAGAGTTAATCACAGCTCCGATACAAATCTCTGCCATTTGTTTACAGTAACCATGTGCTTTTCACCATACACAATTAATCTGCTTGTGATCTTACTTCCTATTACTTTGTCATGTTCGG